GTGAACGAGGAGATGCTGACTCATATCCACCTGAGCCGTACCGGCCTTGTTCACTGAATCTGACTGATCGGCTTGTCAAACCGATCAAAGGCCACTTTCTGGAACTGGCCTTCTTTTTTCTACTAGTAGCAAGGACGCTATTAGGTGGAGGCCATGACCATTAGGTTGGAGGCCATCGCTGCCGCTACTAGTAGCAAGAAGCACTTAAATTGAATCTTGCTTTATGGTCGCTTCCTAGCACGACTTCACACGCCGATTTCTTTGGGATATTCTATGATGTGCCCATACAACCTATCCACACCGATGGCCACACCTGAAGGGCGAGGAGTCACCTTGGGCACAGCTGCACAGTTCATCTGTACATTTGGAGTGGCAGGTGATGGCGTCCAGAAATTGAGAAGAAAGAGTCTAAGCATCCTCCCACTCCACGATCTGTAAGTGGCAGTCTTCCACTGCATCAAGAGTCATCAAGAGTCATAGGCCATGGCAACCATAGGAAATGCAAATCCAACTTCAGATGGTTGTGCGCCCCATGTTTGAATCCCAGAAGGACTGAATGACACCAAGAGATTGTGGTGATCTTGCTTTGAAGATCCTTGAAGTATAGTGAACATGAGTGAGCAAACCAATGATTCAATTGATTCCACAAGAAATTTGCCAACAGCTCCACTCTATTCCACACTCAATGCACCCAGCTGGGCCCCAGCTGTTCTCATTCGCCTCTCATCTCACGAGTACCGACGTTCGTGACGACTTGGCCAGCTACGACTCGGCGTCCGAGGATGGCCGTGTGCCTCGGAGACGGGATGGCCGTGGCGCGCGCACGACGGGGGTTGGTCCACGGATCCCTCTTGGTCAAATTGGCATGCCAAGAACCAAAAAAGAAAACAAAATAGGAAACAACTGTTGAGCATGTGTTAAGGTGTAGAATATTGTCCTAAAATTCATGTTCCTTCACCTTCCTTTATTGCAGCTTTAAGCTTTGAATCCCTTTGCAAAAATGTGTCGTCCCCTCAGGTCTCCTAGCTCATAGGCATCAAGGGCTTGAACGATCTCATTCCGCGGGTCATGTCTCTGTGGTGCTGGCGAATGCCTGGCGCGGTCGACTGCCGACTGAGGCGGTCGACTGTGACAAGGGCAACGCGGTCGGACGCCGCCTGCGACTTGGCACCACGTCCAAGGAGAAGTCGAGGAAAGGCTTGCCCAGCTCCTCAAATGCCAGGTTTAAAAGCCGGGCAGCACCTCCACTGTTAAAAACCAACTTCACTGAAATGACCTGGATGTCGGATTTCTCATGATTTCTTGGTCGAACCTTTACAAGTACGTGTCACACCTGTCTGAATGTCTTGGGTACTGCACCAGTGCAGGTGAAATGGAGTGAAAACGATCAACATACCCAGCCTTTCCAACCCAAAACAAGAACCCCGCCTGTAGAGATCGCAACCTCTCAAACCTCGGTCTATTTAAAAGCAACTTCACTCAGTCAAGGGTTGTCAACAGTAACCGTGACATCGCCTTGTATACAGACTAGTAAGCGGAGTTTGCACTTCTCATCTCTGTGGAAGCTAGATCTCTAGAAAGCTGTAGCAACAAACCGTATCCAGAAAATGCATCCTTCTGACCTCAAATGGGCAAAGCAGCTACAAACGAACTTAGCCACATGAGACCAGCTTAATTTTCAGGTCATCATCTCAGCTTCAAGCTTTGTCCCAGGGGTTGTGGGCGAAGGGCTACGAGCTCCTCAGGACAATGGTCATGTGTGTGTGTGTGTGCTTGTGTGCGACTAAGTCATATCTTGGACAATGCTTAGGCGACAGCTGCAGCTATGAGAGTAACAGGAAACCAGGCTCCCAAAATCGGGGGTCTGGAGAATCTAATTATTGTCAAGAATCTTCAGAGACAAATGCTTGACATTTAGAATATTCCGTCGCGGCCACATCAATGGCCTGATGGCCTGGTCATGTGATCCAAGTTCTCCTGGACCGGTTGATGCCCCAGGATTTGTCACCGCTTGTGTCCACCCCACAGTCCCGCTCCCCCTGTGCCAAATCCACCCGCCTCGATGAAAGCCTCTACCCGGCTCCAAGTCAATGTTCATGCAGCGCCTGCCAGCTGCGCGCTTTACTGGGAGGGTCGCCAGGCTCCACTTGACCAGTTGCTGATGTTCATTCGGATGAAAACATCCGCATCTGAATGACACTCAAAACCCTGGAACAAATACACTCTCTGGAGATCACCTGGATGGTTATGGTAGCTATGGTTTGGCCTTCGAAAGCCAGTCTGGGATAACGTTTCAGGTTATGTCGACCTGCAGGCGTCTGGTTTGAATTTCAACTGTGCAGAATTCCCCCTTCCCTCTCCTCCCTGCAGTCCCACATGTGCCTATCTGTGTATCCACGAGGCGAACCAAACTGGGCGACGCGCGGCCCGCAGAGGTGTTTTCCGTTTCTGTGCCAGCAAGCTGAGTTTCTTTGTAATGCAATGCTTTCCACCACATCTGCAACTGCTGCGGAAGTGTCTGCGATCAACATATCAGATGAGTCTGGTGATGCTTCGAAGACTGTCCTGAAACTGTACAATCCGGCTATTCAGCTATTCTACTGAAACCATCCACTGTCTGCACAGCTGTGATTGTTCAGAGCTCTAGGGCGCCAACCACATTGTCATAGACGGACCTCGCTGTTTTGACACATGGCAGAGGCAGGTCTTTGCCAAGGCTTGCCCAACATTTGGGCATTGGTCAAGCCACTTGTGGATGGATTACTTGGTGCCCGAAGACCACGATGGACAGAGATGAGCTCAAGCAGCTCACGATTTGCCCCACTTCAAGTAAAGTCCCTGTCCAAACAGCCTGCTGTCGCAACTGCGCCCCTGCCCAAACCTTCTTTCCCTTCTTGTACCCACCAAAGGCAACCAAACGAGCCAGAACGACTCATTCAAACCGATCGCGAAGCCAGCCGCGTAGTGTCCCGGAGTGCGGGGTGACGTGTCGCCTGATGAGGCGTGCGGCGGCCATGGCGGCCGTCGCTCCATAAGTGACACATGGAAGTGATGAAAGGTTTCGATTTGAAAAGCATATTCAGAACCATTCAGGTACATTGGTAGAAAAAACCCTTGTGACATTCCTCAAACGTGCCGTTGGTCAAATCCATTCGCCCACTGAAGATCTGAGCTCACTGCCCAGTGCCATGCTGCACCTTGGAGCTCGCTGGAGCATCACCAGCTGTTCGCAATGAAAAGGCTTCTGTCAATCAATCCTTTTAGATCTGATTGATCAATCCTCAAGTTTGCTGGTGTTGGCATTCAATGACGTCACACCAGTGTGAGAGTTGATTCGATAAGTGAAGTAATGCTTGTGAGGTTGACAACAAACGTGAGGAAGAAGCAGAAGAAGCAGAAGCAGAAGACAACAACGCCAACGATTACAGTGATGAAAACACAGTTGACGACAAGCCTGAACACTTAAAATTGACCTTGAATGAAGAGGATCGGGAGTGATGCGTACTGTACACGATGCGAAAACTGTCATCAATCAGAAAGAAAGAAAGAAAGAAAGAAAGCAAGAAAGCAAGCAAGCAGGCAACTATCTTTTTCTCTGAGGCCTCAACAGCTCAGCAAGCTTTCGACCGGAGGATGCAGGTGGCCCGGTGCCGTTCTGGAAGCCAAAGGTGCGATGTGGCAACTGCGGGCTGTAAACCACAAATGACAGAAACCTCCAATCTTCACGGAGTTCTAGCTACCAACTTGGTTCTGAGTCATAGAGAACACATGGAAGGACTGAAAGTGAGAGCTCCCTGTTGCAGAACCAAACTTTTGTCGACTTGGACATTTGGACCTCTAATAGGAGCAAGGACGCTACTAGTAGCTCCTGGCAGTACTGCTAGGAGCAAGAAGCTACTAGTAAGAAAGGCATCGGCATCGCTACTAGGAGCAATCATGTCTACACCACAAGGTTTATTGTCACACTGGCTTCTGGTATGCTTCGTTTCGTGGCCCCTTTTGCATTCTTGTGGCAGCCGCATCTCAGGCGACTCGTCGTTCTCAAGCTCTTCTGCCAAAAAGTCTGCGGCGCGTCACACCAGCACACTTGGGATACTCCGCCGCGTGTTGATTACCAGGAACCTCGCTACGCTGTGCGCGGCTTCGAACGCCGCGGCCACGCGCGTCTGATGGATTTGGGAGAACGTGATTTGCACAGATTGGTTGGAAAATGACAGGTGATCAACTCCGACCAAAATACCCAAATCATCTCTTGGAACAATTGGAATGGTTTTTTCATCTCGCTTTCTCTGCCGAGCGTCCGCAGAGCCGTTGCACCACGCTCCCAAGAAGGCTTTTCCTTGGAGGAGGTGGAGGTAACTCCAGTTCCGCTGGCTCCTGTCAGCAAAAGAGAAACATTGATGAGAAAAAGACATGCAATTTAGAGTGCCGGTTCAGTTTTTTGTCCAGCCTCGTCTAAAGGCTTGACATCGGCATCCACCGAAAGGTTCACTTCAACCTCTAAGCCATCGTAACCTCGCCGCGGCCCATGGCCCATAGCCCATGAACGTGCATCCCTGTGAGGGTCCCGGGCCAATGATCAATCATCCGAGAACCGAGGCGGCCGAATTCATGGGAAAGCACAGGTTCGAGAGACTAAAGCCTACAGTATGTTGTATAGAGTCCTGAAGACAACTGGAAATACACAAAGATCTTGGCTGCCTATGGTTGCCGACAGGAAACTGGTAGCAGGCAGGACTACCAAACGTAGAGGTACACTATGAAACCCGCTGAAAACTCCACCTGTGTGCTTCATTTACAAAACATCTCTAACTATTCGAAATAGAATTGGCAACACAACATCCTGCGTTCTGGCATCCCATTTGCAATTGTCTGTGTTGGTCGGCTACGCATCTTGAGTGCTTGAACTATGGTGGCATCTGCAAAGGTTTTGATGTGGCTCCCATTGAAGGCAAGCAGTACACGAAGTAGCCACATGTTGCACCATTCCATCCTCCCCATCACTGCTCTGAGGGGCTCAATTCCACATGGAGACCTTCAGATTGAAGTTTAAAAAGCTGCTGATTGTCGTGAAAGTGATCAAATTGACAAGACCTCGGCGGCAGGCGCACGGCTGGGCATGGCTTGGCATCGCGCAAGCGACGTCCAGCCTGATTCCATCAGGGAGTCCTTCTCTCAAGTACTTCGGCTTGAACCCCAGCCCGGGTTACCACGTACACCCGCAAATCCATGGGAGGTTCAACTAATCTAGAGCAAAGGGTGAGTTCTTGAGGAAAAGAATCCACCTTGGGAAGCAGCTTCAGAATGACGGGAGAGGATGTATGAAGACTCTTAGGAATAGCTCAAACAGAAACAGTCTTGTGGCCTGTCCTTGCTGGTCCATAAATGGCCTGCTTGAGACATCCCAAGGAGAGTTCAATTTCTGGGCCTAAAGCCCAAGCTTATGCAACTACTGTAGGTTCTGGAGACAGCAAGTGATTCGTTTCTTGCTGCAAGTGACTGGACATATCACTTCAGAAGTCGCTCGGGTAGAAAACAAGTCGAATCAAGAGGCACTGCTGTCATAAAAAAGGACCGCGCACAAACTTTAGCAACCGGGGCTGACCCAAACCCAACTCTTGTGCTCGTCATTTCAGTCGATGGTATACTTTCTTGCAACAAGCTCTGTGCAAGCCATAACCCGTCCTTTCATACTACTCGGGCCTAGGCTCACGCAAATGTTTGGATGCACTATTATTGAATTGAAGTGTCTCAAGGGGTTTGGTGGACACCGATCAACATTTGAAACTGATGAGGAGTAGCTCTAAGGGTCACACTTGTCCATTCATCGAGGGTCTCAGCCCAACATGAATCGAGTGGTCGATTGAGCTGTGAACTCAGGTCCCTTCCTCTCCGTCTCCATTTCCCAGTGGCATGCCGATGAGATAGGCCCGTTGGGGGCGCAGCTCTCGGATCTCAGAAGGGCCGGCAGGGCTGTTGACGACTGGTCTACAGCTGCGACTCTAGTGACTCTAGACATGATGGTAAGCAGACTATAAATGATGATAGCAAATGATAGCAGCATATATATCATGCAACTATCTACAACAATTTGTTGCAGTGAGTGGAGTCATGCCCTTCAAGTCTGGAACGTCGTGTCAACATGTCATGCTACATTCAATGATCGACATCAACCTCATGATCAAACCAGTCACAAAGCGTCACGGAGTCTCTGAACAAACAGATCACCAAGCACCCCTGCCAAATCTAAGGCTTGTGGGAGACCAAAGTGCGAATAGTTGGGTCCTCTCATACAAATTGACGGTCACTGAATGCCCAACATGAGGCCTGAGAGCAGGCAACAGGTGCATATTTCTCTGAACACTATGAGAGGCAACTGCTTTGGACATCTGTTTGAATGGTGGACGTGTTGACGTGTTCTGCTACGACTGGAGTTTAAAGACATCTGCACAATGTTCTGAAGCGGCACAGCCATCGGGTGCGTACACACAAGATTGGTTGGTCGATTTGTTGGTCGATTGTGTCAACCATCCGGGTGCTGACCGAATGTGTTTGGAGAACACATCTTCGCGGACTCCTGTTTTGAGCAGGGCATCCACCACCAAGACCTCTGGACATCCGTGGCCACACGGTGCACGAGTAGGCCCTAACTTGGGCAGCTTGTTCAATCTTTTTGAACCGAGACAAGTCAGTGACACTCCCATGAATAAGTAAACTATAGTAACCTGTATTGTTCAACATCAAGGCAAACATCGTCAAAGACACTAATGGCATTCAAGGTCACAGAATATGTTTGGCTGGTTTTCGACGATGAAGAATGGACCAGTATGACCAGTACTGCTTGCGCCTTGAAAGAACTAGCTGAGCATGTGACCCAGAATCTCTGGTGCTAGTAGGGTATTTCATGATGTCATCTGGTATCATCTAATCACTGAAGCAAAGCCACTAAAGTACAGTATATAATATGTTCTGGAAAGGCAGCCTTTGCCAATCCCACCCATGTCTTTCACGATGTTAGGTTCTTCGGCTTTGTAAACAGAATTGTCCCACGTGAATCGCTTTGTTTTGCTTTAGTGAAACGACTGCTTGTCCAGTACAGCAGCTTGTCCAGCCTCTGCACGGGTGGATTTGAGGATCTTCATGGTGTCGTCAGGAACTTTGCTGACGTCCTCGGTCCGCGGATTTTCGGATCAGACTGGCGACACTACGCGTCCTGTCCTTCTTGGGATCCAACATGATTCTCTTACCTGTTTCATCCATCGCTACGCTTGGTTGGAGGCCATCGCTTGGTTGGCAGCCATGTGTAAACTCTGAAAAGCACCCATGAGCCCGGAATGCTAACCAGTGCAGCTGAGTCGCTGAGAGATATACAAATTCACCCTTGGCGCCAAAGCGGAAGCCCAAGCACACATAGGTACCCCCGTGCAAGACGGGGAGACATTGCACTTGCAATCCTTGCAAACAACAAAGGGTGGCCGGGTGGCCGGGTGGCCTCTGAGCTGCCCTCAAGTTGATCTCAATTGGATCCGCTGAAATTGCATTGTGAACATCATAGCACAGAGGATCCAATATACTGGTGAAACTGAAACAATAATAGTGTATAACTCCCCTCCTGAAACTGCTTAGTCAAGCTCAATGAGCACCAATTACTTGCAACAAATGTCTCACAGACTGAACAGGAGTCTTTGGACGCGGCCAAAGGCTCCAGACTTTTCGCTAGTGTCTTGCTCGCTGAAATGCCTATAGCCCGGTACTAGGCGCAATAAAAGGTTCCTAGAAAAAGAGTAAGACTCCAGCTCAAATGACCACCGCTCCTGAATTGCTGGGATGATCTAAATCCTCGAAACACTAGGAACTCACAAAATATCAAAAAATACAAATGGATCCAATGGTGATCTGCACAGTGGCCCAAATATGCCCAAATGGGATGCTTTGGCTCAACATCACTCTGCTCCTGGCAGCGCCAGAAACTTCTGGAAGTCCTTCACGCGATGTGGTGCCAAGCCAGTGACGATCCTGAAAAAAGCTGCATCAGATCGGTGGATTTGAGGCGCGGCTTATGCCGGAGAAGATCAAAAAGGAACAAACATAATCAAACACTTCACTTCACCGAAAACCACATCTTCCCTTAACCCACGGGACCGACGGGCGCCTGGCAAGACTGGAACGCCGGCGCAGGGATGGAGAACCACTGCCCTCCGGCAACCTCAGCACAAGTTCGGCTGAGACTCAGAAGGGCTTGGACCAGTGAAGGCTACTTACCAGATCTGCAAAGCTTGCCGAGTGGGAGGCTTGAAGCGTCAAGCGAAGCTGGTGGAGGATCGATAGGCAAGACCCTCGGTATTCTGTTTACAGTACCTTGTCCAAACCGGTGCAAGCAAAACTGGCAAGACCCTCGTCAGTGCAGGCCAGACACATATAATGAAAATGGCTCCATACCTGCAGAAAAGCAAGAGCAATGCCGCAAGGTTGCAAGGTGCAAAACATAGATCTCCATTGGTGTTGTTCAACAACAGCTTGTTGAAATGCGACCACGTTCCGGATCTCTCATCTCTCTCTCTCTCTCACTCTCTAACATATAAACAAAATATTACTGTAAGTACATGGTTTGACTTTCGTGGCACACCATCCGCTATCACCCACGTCGCCTCTTCTAGACGCCAACTCGCCACCCTCGGGGACTTGCCCCAAAACCGGCCTCTTTCACCGTGTCGCTGGAGGCGATGATGGGCGTTTTGGCCTTCAAGACCCATTGGTCTGGAGGTTCCCGCGCCAGTTGGACCTCACGGATTGGGGTGAGCATCTCCAGAAAGGTGGAGGGAAGTGGAAACTGGACCTCGAAGTTTGGTGTACCCCTTCAAAACTGGACCTCGCCAGCTGGATTGAAAAGAAGTGTGTCAAAGCGGTCTCTCGGCTGGGTGGCTGGGTCGACGGATAAGGCGGGTGGAACTGCGAAGTTTGGTGTGTGACTCGGAAGACAAGGGCCAAAACTCCTTCAAATATCTTGCTGAAAGGAATGCATGTGGGTATGCAATCTGCCTGGCTGTGTGAAAGATTCAGATCGATGCTAGATGACATCAGGTCGGCCCATGCAGAAAAGAACAGCTATTCTTTCACATGATGCTTTCACCGAACCACAACGCTTAAGTGCTACTTGAGGTACTGATGGGGACTTTAGTTGTTCGTGGCTTCTTGGAGTCCAATCTAAAGACACGAATAACTGCATCAAACACAAAGTCACTGCCCACTAGTGCCATGAGAGGCGACACGGCCTCCCAACCAGGAGTCTGCAAGGACTTCCTTGTAAAACAGCTGCTACCCCAGGTGCCAAGCAGGCAAGGTCTTTTTGATATGTCATCAGGACTAGTCGTCCTCCAAGCAACACATGCTTCGACTTCAACAATATATGGAGACAGATGGTGTCCCTGGCACTACGGTGCGAAGCTCTTCAAAGGGCCGCTAACAAACCTGGGTCGAAGAGCTAAGGAAAGCACCGAGGAAACCGGCTTCCTTCCAGCACCTCCCAAGCGCCTCGCGCAAGCTATCCAGTCCCAAGATCGCATCGGCATGGCCATGCGTCAAGAGGACCGCCTGGACGGTGAAAAGGAGCATGTTGGGTGTTGTTCGACGCCATGACCAGACAAGGTGTACATATGGTAGACCCAAATGACCCGAGCAGAACATGGAAAGCACAGAACAAGTTCACCCCTTGGGCCGTTCTTGAAATCTCAGGTCCTCCTGTCACCACCGGTTGGCCTCAAAAAGACCGCCAACAACCCTCAATCACTGAGTGTTGTAAAGTTGTACTCGAATTGAAAACAACTACAGTATTACACATATATTATATATACAGTAATAAAAAGTATTAGGAAAATTTTCTACACGCACAATGACTTTTGTTTCTTGTTTGACATCACTGGTCACTCTCGGGCAAATCCAGTGGATGGCTCTTCAATGCTCTTCATGTGCCACCCAAAAGCTGTGTTCTCACTCTGCACGTCGCTCGAAGCGGTCTGCTCGTCTCCATCGGAAGACCCTGGACGATCATGTAGAGACTTGATATGACCAGCCGACCTCCCTCATCACAAAGTTTTAGACTCCAATTGGGGGAGAGGGTGTTGTTTCTCCAAGAGTCTACCCTTACTCCCCTCCCTCCCCTTCCTATTTCACCGCCAAGTGACGTTGACTCCTTTCACCCCCAGCTTCCGGAAGTGCCTGCGAACAGCCTCACATCGATGTACTGCGGGAATTCCGAGCAGTCCGAAGAAATGGGGTCGATCCTTTTGGGGTCAGTAGTGCATCGCTACTAGGAACAAGTGCATCGCTACTAGGAACAAGTGCATCGCTACTAGGAACAAGTGCCTTACTACTAGTAACAATAAGACTTTAATTAGAATTGCAATTAGGGGTCGATCCTTTTGGGGTCCGTTTTGCTCTTCGGGCGACTTCTATTGCGAACTCTTCTTGGACAGTCGCCGACACGAAGGGCTCCATCCGCAGAGCCGCCTCGCTCCAATTCGGGTGACTTATAAACCAATAGGTGCGGAACACAGAAACGACGAAAGAAATGGGGTCGACCAGTCTCGATGTCCCGAATCTTCGGGTCGGAGTCAGAACGACCGAGTCCGGACCACGTCTCAGGGAGTCTGAAAGGCACGTCCCTCCGAGTCGCTTCTTCGAACGTCTTTCCGCAATCCACCAAGAGATGCTGCGGTTTGGGCTCGCGGACCGTCACCAGCATACCTCAGAGCCCGAATGAGCTCTCATTTGAGCCATTGGAAGAAGATTGCCCTATCTGTGGAGTGGCAAGAAGGTTGGCCAGGTGCTGCAAACAAATCTGTGTTAGTCTGTTGCTATCTTGCATTATGGGACAGATTTGGGCATCACAAATCTATTTCTGGCGCAGTTTGGTGGCCTCAAGAGTGTCACCCCCCATCCTCCAATAAGGTTCACCCATTGCATAGCACTCACTGCTTCGTCCAACAAGGTCCTCCGAGTTTAGTGTTTGGGTAGAATCTGTTCTTCACTGCAAACCTTGACAATGTCGCCACATGCAAACGTTCAACACGATCCACGCCCATGTTGGATCGCCACGTCTGTTTCGTGATCACGCCCGTTGCCAGCTGTTGGTCACCCAGGCACATGGATTGCCGCGGCGGTTTTTGGACTCTGGATTCTCCCAAGCCTGGCGGCGGATCGCGCGGCCATGCGAAGTGAGCGCAATAAACTATCTGGATAACTCCTGTTTGGTCAACTTCTTCAGTGGACTTCACACGGATTTGAGCAAGGACGCTACTAGGGGCTTGTGGCCTTACTAGTAGGAACAAGAAGCTACTAGGGGCTCCTGGCATCGCTACTCGGAGCA